TCCCTCCAATGACCTCCACTCAGTGTCCTCCACCCCTCTCTGCCAATCCCTCCACTGGCTCCCGATTGCCCAACGCATTGAATTCAAATTACTAACACAGACATACAAAGCCATTCATAACTCCGCCCCAAACTACCTCACCGACCTGATACCCAAATACCACCCAACCCGTAATCTTTGCTCCTCACAAGACCTCCTACTTTCTAGCTCCCTGGTCTCCTCCTCCCACGCCCGATGCAGGACTTCTCCAGGACTTCCCCCATCCTCTGGAACTCGCTACCTCAACCCATCAGATTATCACCTACCCTCCTCACCTTTAGGTGCACCCTGAAAACCCACCTCTTCAGGGAAGCCTACCCTGCCCTCACCTAACAACCGATCTCCTCCACTCCTCCCACCACTCCATCCCCCACAGCCACTTCCTCCTGTACCACCATCCCCTCCCTCCTAGATTGTAAGCTCCCAGGATCAGGGCCCTCGATCCCCTCGTGTATTGCACTGTTACTGTATTGTCTCATGTTCTGTCCCCACTATAATGTACAGCGCTGAGCAAACCTTCTGCCGCCATATAAATCCTGTATAATAATAATAATATACATCGCGGCGCTATATACATATATATCAATATACTGAGCCAAGGACACGCTCCTAGTATCAGGCAGAGGCCATGCTGGTCCCTGTAGTCCTTCCAACCCATGCTGGTGGACAAGCCCCGGTCATATGCCCCCCCCTCCAATTGGGGTTCAGTACTCCCCTCCCCCGCTCTGTTCTTGATGGACAGGCCAGGCATGATTGGACAGTACTGGACCCGTGTGTGAGCTCCTTGTTCCTGTTGGCCACGCCCACCACACTCTCATTGGCTGGAGACAGCAAGCAGCGCTCATTCTCCATTCTCCATAAACCCCTCCTCCCCATCTCCACAACCCCTCCTCCCAATCTCCACAACTCCTCCTTCCAATCTCCATAACCCCTCCTTCCAATCTCCACAACTCCTCCTTCCAATCTCTACAACTCCTCCTCCCAATCTCCATAACCCCTCCTTTCCATCTCTACGACCCCTCCTCCCAATCTCTACAACTCCTCCTCCCAATCTCCATAACCAGTCCTCTCCATCTCTACAACCCCTCCTCCCAATCTCCACAACTCCTTCTCCCAATCTCTACAACCCCTCCTCCCAATCTCCATAACTCCTCCTCTCAATCTCCATAACCCCTCTCCCCCATCTCTACAGCCCCTCCTCCCAATCTCCACAACCTCACCTCTGCATCTCCCCAACCCCTCCTCCCAATCTCCATAGCCCCTCCTCTTCATCTCTACGACCCCCTCCTCCCAATCTCTACAACTCCTCCTCTCCATCTCCACAACCCCTCCTTCCAATCTCCACAACCCCCTCCTCTGCATCTCCCCAACCCCTCCTCCCAATCTCCACAACCCCTCCTCCCCATCTCCACAACTCCTCCTCCCTATCTCCATAAATCCTCCTCACCATCTCCATAACCCCACCTCTGCATCTCCACAACCCCTCCTTTCCATCTCCACAACCCCTCCTTTCCATCTCCACAACCCCTCCTTTCCATCTCCATAACTCCTCCTTTGCATCACTCCTCCTCCGCATCTCCATAACTCTTTCTCTGCATCTCCACAACCCCTCCTCCCCAGCTCCCTAAACCCTCCTTGCCATCTCCATAATCCCTCCTACCTATCTCCATAACCCTCTGCCCCATCTCCACAACCCCTCCTCCCTATCTCCATAAACCCTCCTCTCCATCTCCACAACCCCTCCTCCCTATCTCCATAACCTCTCCTTCCCGTCTCCATAACTCCCTCCTTGCCATCTCCATAACTTTTCCTCTCCATAATCCTTCCTTTGCATCTCCATAATTTCTTCCCCTCCATCTCCATAATCCCTCCTTTCCATCTCCATAATGCCTCATCTCCATAACCCCTCCTTTGCATCTCCATAATTCCTCCTCTCCATCTCCATAATTCCTCCTCTCCATAATCCCTCCTTTCCATCTCCATAATGTCTCCGCTCCATCTCCATAATCCCTCCTTTCCATCTCCACAATCCCTCCTCCCCATCTACACAACTGCTCCCCCCCCATCTCCATAACTCCTCTTCTCCATAACCCTTTCTTTTCAGTTGTCATAACCCCTCCTCTCCATCTACAGAACCCATCCTCCTTATCTACAGAACCCCTCCTCCCAATAAGCCGCCTTTGAAATAAAAACATTGTGCCCCCCCCCCAATGGATTTGAAGTATCCAAATCGAATTTGAATAGAATTCCAGTCAAAACTGACTGGAAGGGGGGGAAAGTGTCCGGACTGGAAGAGGGTGAAAGCGTCCGGACTGGAAGGGGGTGAAAGCGTCCGGACTGGAAGGGGGGGAAAGCGTCCGGACTGGAAGGGGGGGAAAGTGTCCGGACTGGAAGGGGGGGGCTGTGTCCAGACTGGAAGGGGGTGAAAGTGTCCGGACTGGAAGGGGGGGGGGCTGTGTCCGGACTGGAAGGGGGTGAAAGTGTCCGGACTGGAAGGGGGTGAAAGTGTCCGGACTGGAAGGGGGGGAAAGTGTCCGGACTGGAAGGGGTTAAATTCATCACTATTGCAATTCAGAAATTCTGTGACATCTGAAATTCTGAATAACTAAAATTTTGCCAAAATGTTCAATTCGGAATGAAACGAACCGCGCATGTCTAATATTTTGCAGCCTGACTGCGATATTGTAGCATTTCCTGATAAATCTCCTCTGATTTCTTTTCTAGAACCTCCTCTCCACCAGGGGGCTCTGCGACACAAACGGCCAAGCCTCCCGTTGCCTCTAACGGTCTTCTTAAAACGCACAGAGATGCCTTTCCAGAAAAAAGCAAAACTATGGAAAGTGGCCCCAGGAAACCAGAGCCCAATGCAGAGCCTACGAAAGTCAAGTCAGGTTTTGTATCTAAAGGGGTATCTTTGATGTCTTCTACAGCCCAGCGCCCCAGCCTGAAGTCCGAGTCTCCAAGCACCTTCCTGAAAGGTGCACCATCTCCAGTAACCGACTCTCCGAAACCGCTGGCTCCCGGCACAAACAGTCCGAAGAGTCGGCACCAACCACGTATGCAAAGACACAAACCACCAGAACAGCCAAAGAGACACCATCCATCGTCTCCCGTTATACCTCAGTGCTAGGTCCAAAAGACAAACCACCGGTCCCTCCTAGAGAAACCGAAACCAAACCCCCAAGTGAACCAGTTGCTCAGAATCTTCATAGTTTAGATATAAAGACTAAATCCCTCCTTGGTTCCCCAAAAGTGGCCTCGACTGTTGTGTCAAGCTACTCAAGTAGCATCGAGTCTAAAGTGAGGCCATCAAAGATGACACCAGAGGCCCAAAGTCCATCCTCCTTGGAGACCAGGTCTTCCAGGTACACAAGTTCAGGACACAACATTGGAAGCTATTATACACCAAATGTAACCGCAACGAGGAAAGAGACTGCGGTGTGTAAATCAGACCCCAAAACAGAGAACGTCTTTCCCCGTGGCACCCAGAAGTTGGCCTCGAGCAAGCTGGCAGATATTTCTTCAAAAGATGCCATAATGTTGGCTGAGAAGCCTTCAAAGGAGACCTCTGTACCTCTCAGGACATTGAAAGGAGAGACTACTTTCCTATCCATTCATGACAAAAACGGCAAGAAGACTCTGTCTGAGCCCCCTCTGAAGACCTCATGTATGTCCACCAAAGAGACTTTGAAGAGCACACAATATATGACTCCCAAACTGGAGCCAACAAAAGGGACCAACAACGTCTGCCAATCGACAACTAAAATTTTACTTAAAAAAAGCTCCATCTCTTCCCCGAACCTCAAATCCGATTCGCCCTTGGATAAAACCAGCAACGTCCACCATGGAGGGCGAGCCACTGAGGTCAACCCCTCCAGCGGGGTCAGTGATGGGAAGTATCAGCAGAAATCATCCAGCACCATCACTCTGAAGTCTGTCAAAATCCCTCCCTCGACTGACACCGGCCGTAATGTTACCGGACAAAAGGAGAAGGTGGAGGTCTCCAAAATCCAGAAGGTGTCCTTTGTTTCTGGGGGAGACCAGAAGGGGGCAGCAGAGACTGACGGTTCTGATTATGGAACTTCTCCAAAGTTTGACTTCACGCCATCGAGCCAGGAGGTGCTGGAAGGCAGCAGCGTCACCTTCCGCTGCAAAGGTATCTGTGGTATTGGTGACATGCAGTCATGACTGGTGGCATAATGTGGATTTAGTGCAAGGGTACATAGTCATGATAAAGACAATCAGAAGTAGGGATGAGCTGGACGTACCTGGGGGCGCTTCAACCTATTCAACACTATTCCTCCCACTGACACCAATGATGGGACACTATTCCTCCTACTGACACCAATGATGGGGCGCTATTCCTCCCTCTGACACCAATGATGGGCACTATTCCTCCCACTGACACCAATGATGGGGCACTATTCCTCCCACTGACACCAATGATGGAGCACTATTCCTCCTACTGACACCAATGATGGGACACTATTCCTCCCACTGACACCAATGATGGGGCACTATTCCTCCTACTGACACCAATGATTGGGCACTATTACTTCCACAGACACCAATGATGGAGCACTATTCCTCCAACTGACACCAAAGATGGGGCACTATTCCTTTCACTGACACCAAAGATGGGACACTATTCCTTTCACTGACACCAATGATGGGGCACTATTCCTTCCACTGATACCAATGATGGGTCACTATTCCCCCCACTGACACCAATGATGGGGCACTATTCCTCCCACTGACACCAATGATGGGGCACTATTCTACCTACTGACACCAGTGATGGGGCACTATTTCTCCCAGTGACACCAGTGATGGGACACTATTCCTCCCACTGATAATAATGATGGAACACTATTTCTCCCACTGACACCAATGATGGGGCACTATTCCTTCCACTGACACCAAGAATGGGGCACTATTCCCCCACTGACACCAATGATGCA